ATTCTAAAGCAATGGGTGCATCGGGGGAGTCCTGCTAAAGCCACTTGCCTTCGACTCTAATCGAAGCACCGCCCCGACCTTGGCCACGCACAACAGATCCATTCCTCCGAAGAGTGGAAATCTCAGGTCGCAGTCTGAGAGCGCAACCGGGCGAGCGGCGCTCGCTACGCAGGGCGAGAGCAGGACCTTGCATTGGGAATCCAAGCGTCAAGCCCGGATGCTTCCTTTACACTGAGGAGGAGCATATCAGCAAATCTAGGCTATACTAGTACTAAGTACTGAGACTGTCCTTTTGCAGGACATAAACTTGACGAAGACAGAGACAAGTCCTTGGGCCAGCGCCAGAGCGAGGAGCGCACCGCCCCGGCCCCGCATCATGGGAAGCCTACACAGAGACTTCAGCGAGTTCAGCTGACTCGGGCGAATCTCACTTTGGGAAACATCAACACCTACGCTCCCGACTTTCCCGCCACTCCCGGCTCCCTTCCGAGTCTACTTGCAAGGCCTTCTGTAAAAAGCTAACACGTAGGAACGACTCACAAATGCGCTAGTCGTTGCCTTTGCCCCCTCCAGCGGCAGTAGCTTTGGGGGCGAAGGATCTAAGCAACTGCAGCGGCAGATGGACCCAAAGTACATCCAGGGTCCAAAGTTCATCATGAACAAGACTCCACAGATGCTGCAGTTGCGGCGGTAGCACGGTTTTCCGACTCTCTCGAAGCGATGCCCCTCCATGTGATGCTGCGGCTTCCTTTGGCTCGCAGGGTCACCTGGTGGGCTCTGCTTATCCTCACGCTACAACACGGCCAGTACAAGAAGCTTTGTGGCTTTGTCTGCCGTGGCTCCGGAAGGAGATGCTGTCGGGGCGGTCCTCTCAGACTTGCCCAGGCTGGCCACCCAGGCTAGAGACCTTGGCACTGGCTCGGCCCCGTCTTTGTCGTGATGTTTCAGAGGACTATCCGTTCGCATCGCAACCCCCGCAACCCCGCAACCCCTGTCCTACCTCGAAGTTTCTCGCCTCTAAGTCTAGGCCCAGGAGCCTCGTCGTCGGCCAAAGCCTGAGCCTCGGCGAGACGGGCCTCCAGCTCCTGTGCCGTGCTGCCAAGCTCTGCGACGCTCTCGTATGTTGTCCTCTTCGCCAAACAAGACCGTGCCTCTTCCATCCCAGACACCATCTCCTCCAGCACGGCCTGAACGGTGCTCAGAAGCAGCGCTCTTAAGAGTGTCCTACTAGTACTCAGAAGTCGTCCAAGCACACAGGTATGGGATCTGAAATTTTGTGAGCCTACGCCGTGCTCACAACCAGTCCAGCGTGGTTGGCTCCATCTTTCGTGCTACAAGTACTTGCAACCTGCCATTTCTCCGACCATGTTTCCGGCACACCTGGAAGTTGTAAATGTCGCCGATGGGACTCCAAAGATCGTAGAGTACCAAGAAAGTCAACGTCAGGGCCTGAGATTTCCCACTTGCCCACAAGGAGGGACGACGTAGCGTGTCTTGACTTGCGATTGCTCTGGGGGCGCAGCACTTGCCATCAGCCCAAAAAGAATGGCCTCCGCATGCGACTTCGGCATCCCTCTCGCTCAAAGCAGAATTTCAGAAGATCTTATCTTTGACTAGAGATTTGCGTTGATCAGTGTGCTCCCCAAGTTTCATTCGCATGGCATGTGTCTAAGTGCTGGCTCCAAAGACGAAGGCCAACCTGCTATTCATGTTTTGACGATGGCTTTCAGCTGCGAGTTGGAGCTCGGGGGACATGCGACTCTGAAAAGCCTTCATCGGAAGGCGAGCGCGCGAAAACGTCGAGATGTATCTATGGAAGTGAAACAAGTTCATTAACCCGACTACTCCCAAGCTGCCGGTGAGCACCGAGCTATGTTCCGTGCAACAGCTCCAGGGCGTTGTCGCCCACGACCAGAAGCGCCACCACGGCTGCTAACACGGGGATGAGGGGCCCGCCAGGAACAAGAGGCCCTCGAACATAGCCACCCAGAAACTGCGGGACCTGCTGGGCTTCTTGCAGTTCTTTTTACATTCAGATTCTTACATATGCAAGTCAGGATCTGCTTCTCGTAACCCGACGCAACAAGCGCTGACAAGGGGCTCGTGTGAGTACAGGTGACTCCGAGGATCGCTTTGTCAGCACCATCCAGGCTGGCAGGAGCCCGAATAGTGTGGAGACGCCAAAGGCTCCGGCTTTGTCGATGGCTTGGAAGAACAGGCTCGGGTCCAAACAGGCTACGATCACGGGCGGGACAAGGGTCAGCGCAAAGTCCCGGAGCTTCAAAGGCAGGGAGCTGTCCTCTGTGCGATTATCCAAGTCCGCGAAGAAGTCGGTGAGAGCGACCACGAAGCCCACGAAGGATGTAACGATAGCACTAAGAGAAAATGCCAGGATGCCGGTGGCCACAAGCGGGCTGCCTGTGCTCCGGAGCACCTCCAGCGGATCCCCTGCAGAGCCTATGGGAAGGGCCGCCAGCACAGCGGCATTCCACACAACAAACATCAAAAATGGCACCAGGCTGCCCACAACGATGGCCGTTGTGATCTTCCCGCGGTCTCCCTCAAGCTGTGCCTTAGGACTGAGTCTTTGGATTTGGGCCTGGTTTTTCAGAATAAAGCCTAGCCTAAGTAAGGCCCAAGGAAGGGGAAACTTAATCAATGCAAGGGTCGCAGACAGTGGGAACCACGTTGTGGTAGACTAAGGACAGCAGGAGAGTGGGCACCGTGTCGGTGGCCTTGCCCCAATCTGCAACGGCGAGCAGTCGCGCGGCGTCGCCTGCAGGGATGGCCAGTGCGACCAAGGCAAAGAAGGAGACGGCCACCACGACTGCAAAGGCGTTGTTCCCCTGATCCAAGGCATCCGTGCCCTTCGTCAAGAAGATGAAGCCACCGAAGAGACTTGCAAAGACAGCAGGCCCAGGCACGCCGAGGGAGCCGAGGATGGGAATCCTTCGCTAACATTGCCTACAAACCGCTTCTTGATCAGTCCTGCCGGACCATGCGGGTATACATGGACAAAAATCTGCCGGGAGGCAAGGACGTGAGCAGCTCACCACCACGGGAGCAGTAGGCGATCAGCAGTGCCATGTGCAAGAAGACGAAGGCTGCGGAGCTCAGCCATGCGCCGGCAGGGCCGATGGAGGTCGAAGCCATGGACTGGAGGGACGTCGCTCGCTTACCAGTGGCAGCCATGGTTCGACAGGCGACCTTCGCAATGACAACAAAGGATCCCCAAAACAACTCCCTAGCAGCCCTGTGCACCACACGTCTTAAACCGCTGCAGACCTCCGCAATGAAAAGGCCCGTGACGGCCATGTACATCCAGGCGAAAGTCAGAGCTACCGTCGATGGCACGAACCCAGCGGGCTGAGTGACGGCGGGCAAGGCCAAAATGCCAGCCCCGACAGTGGTACCAGCCACCAGGACAATCGCATTCGTAACCGAGGGCTCCTTGTACTGCACTTTGCTGCTCTGCTGCATCTCGTCCCAATCCAGGGTTGAAAACAAACGCTCTTGCACCAGCTTGTCCGGGTCCGCTAGTATGGCAGCCAGGACACTCTGTGAGTAACTGTTGCAGTCATTGGCCGTCAACGACAGCATCTTGTCGAATCTCTCGTTGACATTGATCACGTCCTCTACAGTAACACCTTCTGCCACCCGGCCGAGTCGAACGGCACCCCGCGGCAGCCCCCTCAACTTGCGAGTCCCACAAAGTCCCTCCACCGAACCGCCGAGCAAGAGCTGCAGTGCGGAGCCAGGGTCCTCAGGCTTGGCCGGCACGAAGTCAAAGGCTGCATACCCACCCTCCACACCTGCTAAAACCACAGAGTGCTTGGGCAGTGCCTGGGCGATCCACGAAGGCAGAGGAGAAGGCAGAATCAGCGGAGTCTGGAGAAGGAACACGTCTCCTTGAAGTGAACCTTGAGTCAGCTCGCGGCTGTTGTGAGACGGACGGGTCGGTTCCAGGGTCAAGGTCGACTCAGACTTCGCTGACCGCCGGACAGCCATCCTAGCACCAAGCGCAGCTCCTCCGCCCATCGCAAAGATCTGCAATGGTTGGAAGGACTTCTGCTTCTGCATGGGAGGAGCTCCATGACCTCTGTGGCCATCACGGGCACCGACAACACGGTCGCCATGAGAGGCGAGATGCCTCTGAGGTGTGGGGCCCTGCGCAAAAGCCACGCCGGAGGGCATGATGCCTTTTCACTTTCGCTTGGTCCCCAAGTTGCTGCAGCTGAGACTCTGAGACTGACAAAAGTAGAGGTTGCAGGTATCAGGACCGGTTCGCCTGAAAGAAAAGCACGTGTCCTGGAAATGCCGGATTCCCGGAAGAGTCCTGCAGAACTCGCAGCTGCTTCACTTTGATATCTTCCAAGCCCAGGGCTATCCATGAAGCTTGAGAGCCCTGTCCAGGGCTGCACAGCCGGCCGCGAGAACTGGGAAGACGAGAAGCTCCTTGCAGGCGACCGTCTTCACACGGACAGTAGCAGGGGTGAAGGAAGGCCCACCGCCACGGATAGCGCGGCGAGCAGCGCGAAGTGCAGAGGCGGAAGCTTTCGCTGGGTTGCCTTTGGCCAGATGCGGGAAGCAGCGAGTCTTGGCTCATGTCTTGGGGATTGGCCCCTGTAGTTTCGGCAATTTCCTACCTGCTTTGATTCGTGCTACCGGCAGATTGCTGGGCACTCTGTGTGTTTTGCAGAGGCACTAAACCCCAACCCTACACCCCAGGTCCCACTGTAACACTGTGGTTATGCTCCAAAACAGAAACGAAATCTGCAAAAATGCTACAAAAAGAAAAGACATCTGCAGAAAAGTTTGGGGCACATAGTCGAGTGTGGATAGGTGGAACCAATAAGCGGGCACATGCACAAATCGTTCGGCAAAGATGCACAAAGAATAAGTACGTCAACCCTCAGTGCATGGTGACTGAATGCTGACCAGAGGTAGAGAGAGGGAGGGAGGGAGAGGGAGAGAGACAAAGGGAAAGAGAGACGGATGAAGAGCTTCTGATATCAGCTGCAAGCGACGGGCCAAGCGAATGCTAGATCATGAGCAGCGCAAAAAATCAGTGCGGCTACACAGCTTTCGGGGCTCGGGCCCCAAGGCGTTGGCCGCGCGCGGCGCGCAGGCCCTTCACCTTGAAAAGTAGAAGTGCGCTGGGTTCGGTTCGGATCGAGGCATGCACTCGCATGGGAGCTGCGATTACCATGACTGGCGTCCCGGCCGTGTCATACACTGACGAAGGCTCACCCACGGAGGTGTGGTAAAGAACTCGTTCCAGCGGGTCGATCGCCCGACCTTGCCACAAGACAGCAGACGTGAGGCTGCCAGTTGGCCCTGGTTTTGCAGAGAGACTCTTTTTGAAGATGAATACCAGACATGGAACCCTGGTCTAAAACGAGCCCATCTGGCAAGCAAACCGGCTGCTGCAGTCTGCGATGCACACGGAAAGCTCGGAGCTGGGCCTGCGGAAGACGGCGTGCCTGCCATGTGCTGTAGGGCTGTGACGGCACATGCTAGGACTTTCTGGGCCCTGGACCTGCCACTAGCTTGGCGGGGTTCTGATCCAAACAGCGGAGGTCTTCTCGCACGTAGCACTTGAGGCCTCAGCACGGTACCCGTGCTGGGTCACCGTCATGCACTGGAGCGAGACCCAGGGAGCTAGGCGTGTACCTTCTTAGGGCTTAGGCCCCTCCATCTACGTATGCCGGAGGCATGTGATCGACTGATAGATGGAACACCTTGTCGCATTGTCTGACGCCCACGTCGTGGCACCAATAGAGAGCAGTGCCAAGATGACAGAGGTCCGTCATAACTCATATTTCACGGATCAATAAATGCCAGAATTTCATGCAAAAAGGCTCTCTCGGGCGCCGGAGGACAGCCGCGGCACTGAGCTCCGGGCCTTCTAGCGCCTCGGAAAACTGTTGGTCGCATCTCTGTCAAGCTTTGAACTCTGGCGTGCGATGTGCCTCTGCCAGGGTGGGACGGCCACGACAAACCAGAGCCAGCTGCTCCAGCAAGGCCTCTGACAGAATGGAGGCACGCCTACAAGCCTTCACCTTCTGAGCTCCTCGAACTTCCACGCGCCTTGGCTTCAGAGACCTCGCCATAGACAGCGAGGTAGATCGCCTGCATGGGGGGCGCACCCTCGAACGTGCTCCGGCAACCAGTGCGCTGCCGAAGCAAGACGTGGCCTCCTGCTGTGAGTAGAGGAAGCTGAATGTCTGTGCCTCACTCCCCAGAAACAACTGCTTTTTCACACCTCCTCAGGGTGCCTCATACGAGCAGCTCGGACTGCGCCTTCTCTTTCACATCTGAACTGAGGGGCTTGTGGCAATTTACTTTGAGTCCTGATCCTCTTCAATCAACACGCTTTGTGTGCGTTAAGCGACCCCGCCTCTCTGCACGATCCTAGCTCTCACGGAGCCCTTGCATTATCTTGCGAGCGAGAGATGATTGGCTGGAACTGCTCGCCTGACCGGGCGCCTAAGGCCAGCACCGCAAACAGCGAAAAGACAAGACCTGCAGGTTCACAACACAACATAGTGACGTGGATGTGAAGGCTCCCTCTACCACTCCGTTGCGCTCGATTCCGTGCCACATGCTCTCATCGACAACTCTGGGAGTGCCTCACTGGTAATACTTTAGAGCAACCTCCCCCGTACACCAGGCTTCAGCCACTGAAACCCGGACGAACAACTCACCACAGATCTTGGATTGGGGCCGGGCCTACCCCGGTGAAACAGTTTTGAAGCCACTGGGCGTTGTTGTCCTGCCGAATGCCAATGTACGAATAGATCTAATATACTGGAACTGGATTGTGGCGGCGAGCTGTGAAGTCTCAACTGAATTCAACCGATCTATTTGATCAGAGGCCCTGCATCTTCGCCGTCCAAGTCAAGCCCTCAGGGATCCTCTCGGATGGCTTGGAGCGCCGGGGCGGAGAAGAAGTTCTGCGCACGGGACTGCTAAGAGGAGATGCCAGCACACGCCAGCATTTGGGAAGCTCCTCCAGGATCAATACCGAGGGCAAGAAAAGCGCCGCCGATGCCAGGCCTGCCTCAGTATAACGGGCTGCCATTCAAGACCCTCAGCTTTTACATTCGGACGCGACGTCAACTGAATCTGCAATATGTGATTCGACGGAGTCTTCCAAGAATGCCGCATTCCTGTAGATAGAACTGCGCAGCATTTTGAAACATGTTGAGACATACGGCTTGAGATTGTGCAGTTATCTAAGCAGAACCATATCAGACGACAACTTGTGTGCATAGACCCCGAGCACAGTTCATGCTTCAGCATTGCCAGGCTAACGGGAACACATCGGCTTCGAGACGTTCGAAGGAGAATGCAGTCAAATAACCCTCAATGACGTTCGCTTCCGGACTCATGCAACAGGGCACCGAAAGCGCCCTGAAGCATACGTAGCCTGACATGCTACTCCGCCTCCGACATCTCGTTTCGGCCACTGTGTCCTTTTGTTCACTCTGGCCCGTGTCATTGGCAGAGAAGCCCTGTTGAAGGAAGGAAGCTCCCTCTGACATGCGCAGCTTCTTTGTAATGCTTTGGCTTTTTGCTTCCCCATTGTGTACCGATCGTACAGAAAGTTTACTGTCCGGCCGCAGATCCCGAAAACTGTCCGCAGTGTTTGGCTGTAGCATATGGAGCTTTTAAGGACTGCCACTCTTGTATGATCCCAGCCAGCCAAGTCATGTACGCAAGGTCCCGTCATGCACCGAGGGCTGTTGAACCTTCCGAGGTGCACGCGTAGTTCCCTTCCAACCAAAGCAAGGAAGTCGAATCGACAACACAAGGATTCCGCACCCCAGTGACAAGTACGAGCACACTCGACTGATGAGGCCGGTGCAGCTGCGCACTGCAATAGCCGGTTGTTCTGGCTTTCCTGAAGGGCTACTGATCTTCTCCGAGCACATTCGCTTTGTAAGGCCATGAGCTGGCAAGTCCTCTTGACCGCGTGGCTGTAGGGAGGGCCAGTCCTGTCTGCGTTGGATCTTCTTTCTGTTGAAGGTGGGGGAGGTGGCAGATGCTTCAAGTCTTTGACCCTCGCCTCGCTCTCTGCGAGTCGGCTCTCGTCGATGCGCGAAACTGAGCGAGGGCAATGGATGGGCCCATTTTTGCCCTTAACCGCTCGAGCCCTAACCTCAGCTTCGAAGAAGGTCCTTGCGATGGCATCTGCTGTGCTCAATTTACCGTCGAACAACTCCCGGACATTGAACCGTGAGGATTCAGCAGTGCATGTGATGACAACTCTAGACGCATGCACCAAAACACTTTAAGTGGTTTTGGGTCATCTGAAAGTGGGAGGGACTCACGGGATCTCAATGCGACCGAATTTTCGACCTGGTCAAGTCTTCCTGCATCTGCCACGTCTGAGTGCAGGACCGACAGGGCTGGGCAGCCGGGAGGCCTCGGTGCAGGGCATTGCAGGCCACATCTGAAACTCGCAATGCGCACTTCTTCGTTTGAGGCCCTGGCGCTGGAGGCCGGCGCGGCCTCCAGGCGGTGCCGCAGCTCCGCTCGCAAGCCTTGGGGAAAAAAGCAGCAGCAGGCCGAGAGTCTGAAGAGATCAAAGACGCAGTTTGCCGATGCGCCTTCGACCATCTCGTCGAGGGTCGAGTCCAGACTGTAGAGTCCCGACGTTGGAGACCTCCCAAGGGCGAAAACGCAGGCGAGGCCGGGCTTTCTCCACAGCGCCGAGCTCTCGGCCTCAAGTCCTGGATAACCTGTGAGGAAAAAGCTTGTCCGACAGTGCTGGAGCAAAACTAAAAAGGCCGCCGGCCAGCGCCTGCAAGGCTAGAACAACACCACCGGCAAGGATCGCGAAGACGACGGACTGTATCCAGAGCCTCGGCTCGACAAGAGATTTGAAAAACTCGCTCACCACCTTGCATCCCATCACGAGACCGAGCCGCACATGTCCCGGTGCTGCAGCATCTGAGGCCTGAGGGACTCTCAAGAGGTGGAGGTCCGGTCAGAAATGTCGCTGGAAGCTCCCTTGCCTCGTAGCCAGAGATCCCGGCCTGGTGCTTGTGGCATCGCTGATTGCACTCGTTGCACTCGTCGAATCTTTTGGGCTTTGACAGCTGTTTCAGGGGCTCGGGGCTACATGGCTACATGCAGTCCGTGGCGCGCCAAGCAGGGGAAACACCAAGAGCTCCATGGCACCGAGTACCTGGGGTCTGGAGCGTTGGCGCCCTGCACTCCCGAACTTAGAAACAGCAGCCCGGCTTGCAGCAAACGCATTTAGGGTGCATTGAGGAGGACAAAGTGCTCCCAGGGCAGCCTTGCTCAAGAGGGAACCGACAGACCAGCTACCCTTCCGCAGCTTTCTCGCGAGCCAGAGCCCACCACTTGCGTTGCGTGGCTCCCAGCCGCTGACCTCGCGCCTGCAGAACTCGCTCTCACATTCTAACATCAAGAGCAGGCAATGTCTCAGGTGCTGCAAAGGCAGGCAGGCTGTGAAGCTGATGCAAATTCCAAGTTTCTGCCTCTCGGAGGCTGCGGACAGTGTCGTAGACGACGGAGGGCACCTAGCTCTGCACTAAACGTCTCTCGGCTTTTGCGCACGGAGCCACAGCAACACTCAAGTCCGAAGAGGGATCCGTGAACGAGTTCGGCACACCCACCGAGGTGGCATACAGGATGGCTTCGAGCGGATCCAGTGCGGGCTTCGCCTCAGCTCTCGGTTATTCTCAGATCCTAGATCTCCCTCATCCCCTCCTTGCTGGACTGTAACGCTGTCCTTGCAAATCTCTGCACATGGCTGCAGACACCGCCTTGAGCCCGCTGCAGACACTAACACCGCTGGCGGACACCCCACGCGCACACCGAGGATCAGTTCCTGTGCATCCATGAATGTTGGGATTCACGCCAAGCAAGCAAGAGGCATGAAATTCATCGGATCTACGATTGAGGGATGGATGACCAATCAAACCTTCGGAACAGATTCCAAGCCTCCACGTACGCATCCCTGGGCACACGGACATGTTCAGTCACTCACTTCCACGACTCTCACGTAGCAACTGCATCCACCCGGCGAACCGCGGCTTAGCAATGCTGTGACGCTGCGAGGAGTCCAAAGATCCCAGCATACTCTGCAGCATCGAGCGATAGCTTGGCCTGCAACACGATCGTTCAAGCTTCTGTTGACAGAGGAGCTTTAGGTGCTACTGCTGTCTCTTGCGAGGTACAAGCTGTATATTGATTCATCCGTGGATCTCTTAAGTTCTCGAAGGCCATAGTTCACATTTCATCTTCAGGATAAGCCAGAGGCTCGGATTTCCGGGCAGCCCTCTCTTTGACCATCAGAGCAAAGGGGGGAGCACAACAGAAAATCAGAAAAAGAATGCCCACCAACTTGGGCAAACATTGCGAAACATCTGGAGCGATTCACGAAAAGAAGACTCATACGAGAGCCAGAAAACCAAAACGAAGTTCTACGAATGCTGCTTCAACACGTCGGGGGGCTCGGGTCCTCCGTTGCACGACTACGATCAGGACAGAACCAACTCTCAGTCAGATCCTGAACTCCTAAACCGTGAGTTCGCAGCGGGAATCGCAGCCACAGAACCTGGAATCCTGCATAAACACCATGCCTGAAATGTCCGAGCTGGCTTCCGGCGGATTCCTTGCCCTTAACATCCAGGCTGGCGCACCCTTAACCCCAAACGGAGATGTAGGTTGGCGAGCCCAAAGCCGAAAAAGTTTAGATCACGGCTGCCAGGCGCAGATCCTAAAGGCAGATGTTGCCCGGCAAACCCCAAAGCCCAAGAGGTGCTGGTTGGCAAGCCACAAAAACCCAAACAGAAGACGTTGGCTGGCACACCCCGACCCCAAAAGAACAAACGACCTCAAACGTGAAAGAATAAAGTTTTGGTTGGCAAACCCTAGACCTGTTCATGTAAGGTGGAAAAACCCGTCAATCCTGCAGGAAAATGCCAGTTGGCAAACCCCACAACCGGTGCTGATATGTTGGCTGCACAGCCCCCATTGATTTCAGTCCGGACCTCAGCGTTTTCCGAATCGATTTCCTGATTCGACTACCTCCGTTTCTGAATCGGCCCGCCCGGCTTGCCCAAAGTGTTTTCTTAAATCTTCGCATCGTTTCGGAACCAAGCTACCCTCCGTTTAGTACCTATCGTGGGGCAGGGACTTCAAAAGGCCCCGCAAGGTTCGCTAGGCTGTCAGGGTGTAGAGTACAGGGTTGCATCCGAAGTCCAACCTACTTCCAAAGGCGTCAGACAAGTCTCGACGGCTTTGGGCCTGTTCTGCGAGACAAGCGTCAGCTGCTCCAGCAAGGATCTTGCCTCACACACCGCTAGTGCTAGTGGTTGTAGGTTCACGAGCCAGCAACCCCACACAGCCGTGACGCCCGCAGCAAGAGGGGATAAATCATGAGCCCCACTTGGCCTGCTGCCAGAGAGAATAAATCATGAGGTCCACTCTTGCAGCTCCAATGCGGGCCCTCCAAACTGCACGACAGCTACAGCTTGTGGTTCTAGCAGCTGCCGCCAGACATCCAAGGTCAGTGCATTTGTGCAGGAAGACAAAGACACACTTCCACCCACCACAGGAACAAGCTGCGGGGCGGGACAACAAAGTCCTGCTTGCTGCTGTGCACACAGGCCATGCGGCCGTCCAATCAACAGAGCCTACTGCACAAGCTCTGGATCGGGAACCTTGTGTGCAATGCCTTTCCCACAGCTTCTAGAAGCGACACTTGAACATGTACTGCATGACCGGACATCCTATGTGGCTGCATGACGCCTGCTGCCAGAGGGGATAAATCATGAGACCCACTCTTGCAGCTCCAAAGCGGGCCCTCCAAACTGCACGACAGCTACAGCTTGTGGTTCTAGCAGCTGCCGCCAGACATCCAAGGTCAGTGCATTTGTGCAGGAAGACAAAGACACACTTCCACCCACCACAGGGCAAGCTGTGGGGCGGGACAACAAAGTCCTGCTTGCTGCTGTGCACACAGGCCATGCGGCCGTCCAATCAACAGAGCCTACTGCACAAGCTCTGGATCGGGAACCTTGTGTGCAATGCCTTTCCCACAGCTTCTAGAAGCGACACTTGAACATGTACTGCATGACCGGACATCCTATGTGGCTGCATGACGCCTGCTGCCAGAGGGGATAAGTCATGAGGTCCACTCTTGCAGCTCCAAAGCGGGCCCTCCAAACTGCACGACAGCTACAGCTTGTGGTTCTAGCAGCTGCCGCCAGACATCCAAGGTCAGTGCATTTGTGCAGGAAGACAAAGACACACTTCCACCCACCACAGGGCAAGCTGTGGGGCGGGACAACAAAGTCCTGCTTGCTGCTGTGCACACAGGCCATGAGGCCGTCCAATCAACAGAGCCTACTGCACAAGCTCTGGATCGGGAACCTTGTGTGCAATGCCTTTCCCACAGCTTCCAGAAGCGACACTTCAACATGTACTGCATGACCGGACATCCTATGTGGCTGCATGACGCCTGCTGCCAGAGGGGATAAATCATGAGACCCACTCTTGCAGCTCCAAAGCGGGCCCTCCAAACTGCACGACAGCTACAGCTTGTGGTTCTAGCAGCTGCCGCCAGACATCCAAGGTCAGTGCATTTGTGCAGGAAGACAAAGACACACTTCCACCCACCACAGGGCAAGCTGTGGGGCGGGACAACAAAGTCCTGCTTGCTGCTGTGCACACAGGCCATGCGGCCGTCCAATCAACAGAGCCTACTGCACAAGCTCTGGATCGGGAATCTTGTGTGCAATGCCTTTCTCACAGCTTCTAGAAGCGACACTTGAACATGTACTGCATGACCGGACATCCTATGTGGCTGCATGACGCCTGCTGCCAGAGGGGATAAATCATGAGGTCCACTCTTGCAGCTCCAAAGCGGGCCCTCCAAACTGCACGACAGCTACAGCTTGTGGTTCTAGCAGCTGCCGCCAGACATCCAAGGTCAGTGCATTTGTGCAGGAAGACAAAGACACACTTCCACCCACCACAGGGCAAGCTGTGGGGCGGGACAACAAAGTCCTGCTTGCTGCTGTGCACACAGGCCATGCGGCCGTCCAATCAACAGAGCCTACTGCACAAGCTCTGGATCGGGAACCTTGTGTGCAATGCCTTTCCCACAGCTTCTAGAAGCGACACTTGAACATGTACTGCATGACCGGACATCCTATGTGGCTGCATGACGCCTGCTGCCAGAGGGGATAAATCATGAGACCCACTCTTGCAGCTCCAAAGCGGGCCCTCCAAACTGCACGACAGCTACAGCTTGTGGTTCTAGCAGCTGCCGCCAGACATCCAAGGTCAGTGCATTTGTGCAGGAAGACAAAGACACACTTCCACCCACCACAGGGCAAGCTGTGGGGCGGGACAACCAAGTCCTGCTTGCTGCTGTGCACACAGGCCATGCGGCCGTCCAATCAACAGAGCCTACTGCACAAGCTCTGGATCGGGAACCTTGTGTGCAATGCCTTTCCCACAGCTTCTAGAAGCGACACTTGAACATGTACTGCATGACCGGACATCCTATGTGGCTGCATGACGCCTGCTGCCAGAGGGGATAAATCATGAGGTCCACTCTTGCAGCTCCAAAGCGGGCCCTCCAAACTGCACGACAGCTACAGCTTGTGGTTCTAGCAGCTGCCGCCAGACATCCAAGGTCAGTGCATTTGTGCAGGAAGACAAAGACACACTTCCACCCACCACAGGGCAAGCTGTGGGGCGGGACAACAAAGTCCTGCTTGCTGCTGTGCACACAGGCCATGCGGCCGTCCAATCAACAGAGCCTACTGCACAAGCTCTGGATCGGGAACCTTGTGTGCAATGCCTTTCCCACAGCTTCTAGAAGCGACACTTCAACATGTACTGCATGACCGGACATCCTATGTGGCTGCATGACGCCTGCTGCCAGAGGGGATAAATCATGAGACCCACTCTTGCAGCTCCAAAGCGGGCCCTCCAAACTGCACGACAGCTACAGCTTGTGGTTCTAGCAGCTGCCGCCAGACATCCAAGGTCAGTGCATTTGTGCAGGAAGACAAAGACACACTTCCACCCACCACAGGGCAAGTTGTGGGGCGGGACAACAAAGTCCTGCTTGCTGCTGTGCACACAGGCCATGCGGCCGTCCAATCAACAGAGCCTACTGCACAAGCTCTGGATCGGGAACCTTGTGTGCAATGCCTTTCCCACAGCTTCTAGAAGCGACACTTGAACATGTACTGCATGACCGGACATCCTATGTGGCTGCATGACGCCTGCTGCCAGAGGGGATAAATCATGAGGTCCACTCTTGCAGCTCCAAAGCGGGCCCTCCAAACTGCACGACAGCTACAGCTTGTGGTTCTAGCAGCTGCCGCCAGACATCCAAGGTCAGTGCATTTGTGCAGGAAGACAAAGACACACTTCCACCCACCACAGGGCAAGCTGTGGGGCGGGACAACAAAGTCCTGCTTGCTGCTGTGCACACAGGCCATGCGGCCGTCCAATCAACAGAGCCTACTGCACAAGCTCTGGATCGGGAACCTTGTGTGCAATGCCTTTCCCACAGCTTCTAGAAGCGACACTTCAACATGTACTGCATGACCGGACATCCTATGTGGCTGCATGACGCCTGCTGCCAGAGGGGATAAATCATGAGACCCACCCTTGCAGCTCCAAAGCGGGCCCTCCAAACTGCACGACAGCTACAGCTTGTAGTTCTAGCAGCTGCCGCCAGACATCCAAGGTCAGTGCATTTGTGCAGGAAGACAAAGACACACTTCCACCCACCACAGGGCAAGCTGTGGGGCGGGACAACAAAGTCCTGCTTGCTGCTGTGCACACAGGCCATGCGGCCGTCCAATCAACAGAGCCTACTGCACAAGCTCTGGATCGGGAACCTTGTGTGCAAACTGCCGTCCTGTATGGTGCAGCTCCGACACCACAAAGCCATCGCATGATGCTGTGGAATCCTTTCTAATTTCTAAAGGAAACACCGAAGCTCTCCCCTAGGCGAGGTCCACAATGCCCCCGCCCGGCGCCAATTTTTCCAAAAGCCTCGAATATCTTAGCTCCCGAATGCGCCGTTGCGCCTCGGCGATCTCGGAGTAGAGAGCCATATACAAACTCTCCTTGCAGGACATCAGGCCCAGGGCTGGGTCTCACACGGGAATTGCTTTCAACCTTCACTCAACATGGGAAGAGGTTCGGGTCAAAGCGAAACCCAAGACACACCACAACGATTCCCGGATCCTCAACCGGATGCTCCCCTACATGTCAGGGGCTCTTGCAAGGCGTACATGCCCAGCCTGCTGCTGGTACAAGGAGGCGTATGTCTGCGAGACGAAGAACGAGAACAGCAAGCTGTTGAAATTGAAGAAATTCTGCATGTACTGTGAAACCTCAGCAGAGCCCGCTAAAGGTTTGCCAAACTCGGGAAGTCCATCACTAAATCGCCGGAAACTGTACCTCTGAGATTCTGGAAAGCATGCCATGCACCAAACAGATCTGTGGATATTCCTGACTGAGATTTCGCCTATCGACAACCGAGGACTGTGGCTCAAGCATGCTCAAGCCGAATGTAGGGCTCACACATCACCCTTGATGACGCCAAGCGCCACTGAGTCCAGCTGGGAGGCAACCTGGAAGGAGGCTTTGCAGTACAAAGATCGGGTGTCGAGCCGTCGAAAGACCCCGCAATTCCAACGCTGAGGACGCAGCCGCTTCAGCAAACAAAGGGTAGAGCAGGAAACTAAGGAACGAGGCGATAAACCTGATGACACAGCACTGCACATCCGCAAATGCATGAGCGGGTTCAGAACGAAAGGTCTAGGCTTGAACCCGAGCCGCGCTAGACACCCCGTGTAGTCAGGAAACTGCAGCAGCGATACACTTGGATTAGTCAACTCTCGAAGTCTTGTGCCTTGCCAAGCCCTTTCAGCAGGACAAGATCTGGTTGGACATGGTCATGATCGTGGACACATGTTCAGCTTCAGCCCATGGCGCCGGTGAGAGGAGCCGTTGGAGCTGCGCGTCGGACAAGCTGCCACAGTCGAGGGTTCTTCTTCGTTCTCTCATTCTCTCAATCGCAAGCCCTTGGTGGCCTTATCCTATCTTACCAGGTACCAGCATGGCACGGCACAGAGTCGTGGAGCAGGTGCCGGAACAGAGCTGGAAGCTCCCTTGCCTCGGGCCCATAGGGTCGGCAGCACCTTCCCGCCGGACACCAGGAGTCACAAGGGCGATTGGGGAGAAGCCGCTCCGCGCTCCGCTCCTCGCCTCGCAGGCTCGCGGCCCGAGGGCCACGGAAGCGCCTCTGAGGCCTCCGAGGCCGCGCGGCAAGATCTCTGTGCCTCCCGCGGTCTCCGAGGATGCCGAGACCGGAACTGCGAAGCTCGCGCAAGCTCCCTCCCTTCCCTTCTGGCCTCTTCCGCCTGAGGACCAGGAAGAGAGAGACTGCCTCGGTCTTTCGATGTGGGATGATGTGGGCTGGGCATGGCAACAGACCTCTGCAAGAACCCGATGAGCTCGCTCAGGCAGTTTCTGCAAGCGACTGCACAAGCAGAGCGCCGTGCGTGCGAACCGGCAGTGGCGGGTATCGGGCCTGTCACAGCACGAACTCTTGACGGCAAGAGATTGAACTTAGCACTTGTTCTGGCCCTTTTTGACCCCTTCCAAGCTCGGCCTCCATTCGTGGAGTACCAGCTTTGGGGCCTGGCGGCAGCAACAGAGCACACAGTCACAGGGGGATGAAGGGAGAGGTCACCGGACATGGATAAAGAGGTTTCTCCCGGTCCAGGCGCTCGGATGTCGCGTCGACATCCGAATATATGCAGGCTGCATGTTCTGATTCACAGTCTGAGTGTCTGAGAAAGACCCCCGCACGTAGGTTTCAAGCGAGGGCACATGACATCATCCGTCTTCAACTCGAAAGAACCCAGAATACTGGAAGCACACGAAGAGTTTCATGGAGCCAAGCCTCCGCAACTGCGCCACGGACCTGCCATTTCACTCAGGATCGGTGGATGACGAGAAGCTTTGTTGTTGGATTGCCTTCTTGTGGTTTCTAGCAGCCTTTACGTCTTGCTACGGCTACCTTGTCACTGCCAGCTGCTGAGACATCTACTGGCCTCTGTCTGACAGGACGGATGAGATTCGTGATTTACGGCTGACTCTGCAAGACCCCTGCCGCTAGAAGATGCTACAGGGGAAGCCCCATCGATGCGCGCAGTTGTCGCTTGTGCTTGGACAAAGGACACACCCGCAAAACAAGCGCAAGTTTACGCTCCGTTGTTCAGGCAGCAGGAACTGCGATTTGCCATGCAAACTTGAAAACCGGCCTCGAGCCACCACTTCTGGTCGCAGGAGCCGAAGATGGAGCTGGAGTTGCAAAAGGAGGAAGGAGCGGAACAGCGGGGCAGTGTGTGCTTGCACTGTGCGCTGGCAGGCAGATGCCTGCAGCGAGTGAGATCGGCTGCAAGGACAGCGAAGCCATAGCAACCGATGGAGGTGCTAGAGAGTTTATGGGCTGGCTTAGCATTTACGATCGTTGGATTCGCTTGTGGGTGGGGGGACTTGCTGCACCCTTTTGCGCACTCCAACTGCTTCCTTTGCACATGTGTGCGACTACATCTGCGCCTGCCAAAGCTTCAGCCCTTTAGAATGCCACCTCCCTCCTGCAACGAACACACCTCTACCTGTCAGACGTCAAGCACGTCAGGCACCTCTGCAGGATTCTATGCGAAACGTCTTCTCCTGCTGGCTTCGCTCCGCCTGTGCTAAAACAGTGCTCATCAATGCAACACCTATGCCCGAGAATATGCCCTTGAGAAATGAAGCTTCGGTCGCAGCCGAGGCTGCAATTCGCAAACTTCAGTTCTACATGCACAGAAAGTTCTGAGCTTTAAACCCTTAAGACCTCAAACCCTGGCTAACCCCCAAAACCCAAATGCCGTTAACACCTTAAACCCTAAACCCTGAGCCCCTTGAGTGCATATACGGCAAAGCACTTTTCGGTTGGAAAGCAGGACTTCGCGGCCTCGGATCTTCCGGGCTGTAAAACCTAGGACCTAGGCTCTAGGCGGCCGTCCTGGATCTTGAAAGCCATCGGCCCGCAAGTCAACGATGAAGATGTTCAACGTAGGTCAGCTCGTGGCGTTCGTTGTTGAGCGATCCGTCTCTTCCAGGCACAAGACCTCACTCCTCACAATTTCTTGTGAATCTACAAGCTGGGAACCGCCGGCAAAAACGAACGGTTAAGATACCCCAAGAGCAAAAAGCGTTCACATGGGGGTGCGCTGTGTGCACGAAAAGGAGAAGATGCAGGAGGTCGGAGATCTCGAGCCTCTGTGACCATCGTCCTGGCTTTCTTTATCTCCTGCGTTTGGGCCACACGGTCTGGGTGCAACTCCGCCAACAGGTGCCGTGCTTTCTGCTGCACGGGCTGCAAACTAAGTGAGTCGACGTCAACTTGTAGCACTGCTTGCGCCCAACCCCGCGAGGTGAGAAACCGGCCCTTCTCTGGAAGGGACAAAATTCTGCTGGTTTGTTGCCGCGCTTGTTGGGTTAGAATCTCGGTCGCCGGCACTGTCGCTGCCTCCGGTGCTGTCACCTCCAGGCATGTTCCATGTGTTTCCCTTGACCCTACACATGATGTCGTCCTGGGGCATCAGACCCTGAACCCTGCACAGCGAGTCGTATCTTGGACGGCACTCGACTGGCCAGCCAGCCTTCTGATCTGCGAGAATGGGCGTCTTCTCTTCCTTGCTGGGCGCATTTTCATCATGGCGGCAATCCTTGATGCATTTGACGGCTCAGGCATGGAAGTCTTTCAGAAATGAACGTGGATCCACTGTCACTTCCGAGATGGCCCAGGCAAGAGTTCATGTGATTGACCTACCAAGTACGTGCGGGCATGGTCATTGTTGGCTCTTGTGAATGTCGGGCGGCATAGGACACCAGGATTGACACGACATGGCGAACGTTCATCGTGGCCGCAAAGACCAGGGCGCCAAACTCTTCAATCTGCGAGCAGAGGAAGAACCTTGCGTCTATGTCATACTGGCAAGCTGCTCAGTCTCAGCTACATGGCAAACGAGCGGCCACTCTTTGTTTTCGTATCACCTTTTTCTCAAGCACTTACCCAGCAAAAAAGGGGCAGTTGCAACTGCTCACCATCTCCACACCTGTACCTTCTTTCGTCTCCGTTCTACTGCTTCTTCCTCTGCTCCTTCATTCTCGTGTGTTGTTTCTCCCACGGTCTTGCTAAACTTTGCCCAGAGCTTCAAGTGCGAGTCACTCCCGACACCAAACACGCCTTTTTGCTTTGTCTCATTGTGCTCATTCTTCTTGTTATTCTTGTTCTTCTCGCCCTCTCGCCTTCCCTCCCAACTGCATGATTGCTATGTCTCATTCCGAACCCTGAGCCAGGCGGCTCTGCCTGCTTCAGTCAAGACCGCAAGCCACTGTCAGATGATGAAACATAGTATATACTAGACACCAACAAACAAGCTGAAGTCAGTCATGCTGCTGGCTTGCCACCGCCGATGCACTCAACAGGCCGCAGTCCAACCAGAAGCGCCTTCGCCAGAGGGGGTCTGTGGGCTTGAGGTTCGGGAATTTCCATATCTGAGCATGGCCACGCACACCTCCACGTGCTACCTACGTGCACTTGCAGCTCAGCGATATAGGGCACAGTATCGACATCATGAACTGTCCAAAAAGCTTCTTCTGATAAAGATTTGATCTCTTGGGTAGCCCTGACAAAGGGAAGCTTGCACCTTGACAGTAAGAACTTGATCAAAAAAACGTTTTTCAGAGCCTAGATTCAGAATCATGGGTGTCGAAGCGAGGCTTTTGCTGCTCTTATTTGTTTCGTCAGGGCTGATGAGGTTTCCGATTATTGTTGTCGCTTCTGGCCAATGCGCTTAACAACAGTTGGAATCACACTGCATGCAGTTGCGCAAGCACCTTCGCTCTTCACCGGGATGCAACATCAGAGCACTCAAGGATGTCGAAACAAACGTCAGTAAATATTTGAAAACGCATGCCAGCCTCGGACTTGCTCAGCAGCCTGTGGCATCGGGGACGATGTGTAGTAACTTGAAGGGCAAGCTGAGGACACCAAGCACAGTTCAAAGCAGCAGGAAGAGAGGGAGGCTTGATGCAACAACCAAGCACATTCACGTGTAGTGAGCAACACAGCCTCAGAAATTGTTCTTTGTTGTGACAGTCTCTCATTCAATGTCCTTTGCTTTCGTCATTGCCTCTTGTGTGTTTATGTGGCTTGCTTCGTCAGCGGTCGCTTTGCCCTATATGTGCGTGGCGTTTTGTTTGTCTTGTTTTTTTGGTTGTCTCACTTCTTTGCTTTCGAAGCCAGAGGTTGTGTTCTGTGTCTTTCTTGTGTTTTCGCTGGCTGGCTTTTGGCTTTCCGCTCCACCAATCTGCGACTGTGACAGCGATTGGACCTGTTTCGGAGTCAAAACTATGGCACATCGTGCGCATTTGCGTCGACGAGCATGGGACATCCAGCAACAGTCACAGGGATGAAGTGTTGTTCAAGGGCCGCAAAGGTTTGTTGATGCTTTCTGGTTTTTGCTTGGCGGATGATAAGTGAGCTTTAAACGTCAGCGGTTGGTCGATGACCATATTTCTTGCACCGACCATCTCACTAGACGTCACTAGACGATGGCTGGTGATGAGAGCTCAACAGGCACCCTTGTTAACCTTAGCAGTGGATCACAGTTCTGACCTGATGGCCGGTTCTGAAAGTTCTGGGGGAGTGCACGTGACGTATGCATGATCAAGGGGCCACTTGTGGGACTCACACAAACCTCCCGTGATTTCCTCTTGGTAAGCATGTTAATAGCCCGGGTGATTCGTGCTTTCTCCAATGCAGTACTTCACCTCCTGCACATTGGCGCTCAACTTTAGCCAAGGCACTTATCCAATGCCAACGCAATGCCAATGCAGCTGGAACGTCGTGCTACCTTTATCCATATCCATGTGTGAACAGGACGGGCTTTGGGTTCAACATCCAGGCATGAGGTGGCTTGCGATGTGATAGGGGACCCTGGACATATCTGGGCGACCTCCATGCCAGTCACGCCACGACACCATGGAGGGGGAACAGGCTATTGTCAGTGCTCATTGGCATTCATGTGCGCAATTCGGGGAAGCTCCAGGACAATGAGACGGCTTTGCTAGCCGATACCGGCTGTCATGTTGATTCTATTATTGTACTGGGGCGCTTGTGACTTCGTGCTGGCCTCAGGCTGACGAGACCCTGGTGCTGCAATACGTTGGTTTGCCCTAACGTGAGCAAATGCTGAATGCCAGTGTGTAGTTTTGAGCCCTACATGTTCCGTTTCAACCCAAAGATAAGAAGCAAACTTGACCCCGCCCTCCCACCCAGACTCAATAGCTTGCAGCTTTCCAGACCTTTGACCGGCAACTTATACTCCTGAAGAGACACATGGTTTAAGCATAGCTCCGCTAGCTTTGGTAATGAGTCATGTGGATGTAGCAACCACAAACGTCAATTTCCTGACAGGAAGTCACTGCAATGCCCACACAAAGCGCTTCACACAAATAGGCCGCGCAAGATGCCTCACATCTCTGGAGGCCCGCAGCCTTGAAGCCGCCAAGCAACAGCAACAGTCGTCAAGGCTAAGCGCATTGCTTATCCACCCATCAATGAGGAAGAGACGGTGTCACAACATCACCCGTCTCACTTCTCGCTGCCCATCCCTTGAGTCAAACTTGGTCATGCACAACAGTCGGCAAAATATGCATGACTCAGATCGAAGCAGGCTGCGGGGAGGAAGCTTGCACCACATCCTTAAAGTCAAATATGGTCACACCAACAACCGGCAACATCTGCATGACTCAGATCCAAACATCCCGGTGAAAAGAGGGTTGCTCAAACTTCTTTTTTTGGGTCCACGGTCATGCAATGCAGTCGGCAACATCTGCATGACTCAGTCTGCAACATCCGGCCGAGAGGAAGCTTGCACCATGGCCTTGAAGCGAAATGAAACATGGTCACACAAAACAGCCGGCAACATCTGTTTGGCTCAGATCGAAGCATCCTGATGCGACGAAGGTTGCTCAACGTCCTGTGCATCACACATGGTTCATGGTCAAGCAAACCAGTTGGCAACATCTGCAGGACTCAGTTTGCAACATCGTGATGGGAGGAAGCTTGCATCATGTCACTTCAAGTCCAACATGGTCACACAAAAGGCCGGCAACATCTGCATCACTCCTGATGGGAGGAAGGTTGCTCAACGTCCTGAGTCAAACATGGCCCATGGTCATGCAAAACAGTCGGCAACATCTGCATGAACCAGTACATCCTGCCGGGAAGAAGCTTGCGCCATATCCTTCGAGTCAAACAACATGGTCACGCAAAGCAGCCGGCGACATCTGCGTGACTCAGTTCGCAACATCGTGATGGGAGCAAGCTCGCACCATATCCTTACACAAACTCAAATC